ATGTTTAATTAATTTTTTTTTTATACCTCCCACCAGCAGGGGGACTGTCTGACACTCCAGACAGTCCCCCTGCTGGCAGATTCACAGCCAGCTATAGGGGGCAATGTGATCGCTCTTTGAGAGCGATCAAATGGCCCCCGGGGGCCTGATTTGGCATGGGAGGGCTGCCTGCGCTGTCAAGCAGTCCTCCCGAAGCGGAGCGCCGGGAACAGGCCCGGACTGGCCATCGGGCACACCGGGCAAATGCCCGGTGGGCCGCGGTGGCCGTGGGGCCGAGGCCGGCAGGGGAGGTCCCAGGATCTCCTCTGCCGGTCTATGCAGGGCCGGCGCTATCCGAGCGCCGGCCCCGCTGTATTCCATGGAGGGCCGGTGGGGAGATCAAAGATCTCCCTCACCGGCCCACATGCGCTCCAACGCGGCCGCCGGTGGGGAGAGAGGGAGGGTGACAGCCGGCAGGAGAGAGGACCCGGCGGAGCTCTAACTTGCAGCTCCACCGGGTTTCTCTCGCGAGATCCGGACCGTTGCTATGGCAATCAGCCGGGTCTCGCGAGAGTGAACTCTAGCCCCAAAGGGCTAGAGTTCACTTACCAAGAGGACCACCAGGGATGGCTGGCAGGAGCACGACCCCCCCCACACCCTCCTTCCAGGCTACAGGTAAGAATGGGGGGGAGTGGGGGTGAAATATAATGTATTTATTATTTATTATGTAGTTATTATTATTATTATGTAATTATTATTATTATGTATTTATTATGTATTTATTATTATTTATTATTATTATGTAATTATTATTATTATTATTATTATTATGTATTTATTATTATGTATTTATTATTATGTATTTATTATTATTTTGTATTTATTATTATTTATTATGTATTATTATTATTATTATTTTTTAGTAAAACATTAATAGTGCCATTTACCTGCCTCCCCCCAATACAAAATCCTTGCAAACACACACATCACCCTCACCCAGCACCCTAACATTGACACAGCACCCTAATACCAGCACCCTAACATTGACACAGCACCCCAACACACACACAGCACCCTAACATTGACACAGCACCCTAACACACACACAGCACCCTAACACTCACACAGCACCCTAACACCAGCACCCTTACACACACACAGCACCCTAACACCAGCACCCTAACATTGACACAGCACCCTAACACACACACAGCACCATAGCACTCACACAGCACCCTACCACACACACAGCACCCTAACACTCACACAGCACCCTAACACCAGCACCCTAACACTCACACAGCACCCTAACACCAGCACCCTAACACCAGCACCCTAACATTGACACACCACCCTAACATTGACACAGCACCCTAACACACACACACAGCACCCTAACACACACACAGCACCCCAACACACACACACAGCACCCTAACACCAGTACCCTAACACCAGCACCCTAACATTGACACATCACCCTAACACACACACAGCACCCTAACACACACAGCACGGTAGCACTCACACAGCACCCTAACACCAGCACCCTAGCACTCACACAGCACCCTAACACATACAGCAACCTAGCACACACACACACACACACATCACCCCAACACACACACATCACCCCAACACACACACATCACCCCAACACACACACAGCACCCCAACACATACACAGCAACCCAACACACACAGCAACTCAACACACACACAGCACCCCAACACACATCACCCTCAAATACACAGAACCCTCGCTCAGTGCCCTAACACACAGCGCCCTCACACACAGCACCCTCACACCCACATACTGCACCCCCCCACACACACCACCCTCCCACATACACACTATACTCCTCACAAATGCACACTACACCCCTCACACACACAGCACCCCCAAACACACTGCACCACTCACACACTCACTAGATCTCCTATACGCACTCCTGAGTCCTTCAAACACACACTAGATCCCCTACACACAGACGCTGCACCACTTACACACACACTACATTTCTGACATACACACTCAGAATCCCCTATAAACACTCTAGATACCCTTTAAGCAAAGTGAGTATTAAAATACAGTGAGTATTCCATTTATGGAAACCCCTGAGACAAGTTTCAAGCAAACACAATGCAAGCATGTTATTAAATTTGCTTGCGCTGTGCAGATCAAATACAGGGCCCTTTTCTCATGCCCTGGTAGAGCATTGAACCAACATGCTCACTTTGAGATGGGGCGTGCTTGTCATTGGGGATGACAAAACACACCCTATCTGGCCCCGCCCCCTTTTCAGTGGGCCGCTGTAATTAAAAATGCCCGGGCCGAATTTTTTCCCCAGTCCGACCCTGGCCGGGAAGGTAAGTATCCCAGCGGCTCCAGGGCTCAAAGCCGTTACGTCGTTCTATGCCGCCGCAACGGCTTTAAAGCCCATTTAATGCGGCATAAAACGCAGTAATGACATTAAGGGGTTAAAGACACGGAGGCGAGTATTATGCTGCCCTCTTTCTTTAATTTAATGTGGCATAAAAAGCAGTAATGACATTAAGGGGTAAAAGACACGGAGGCGAGTATTATGCTGCCCTCTTTCTTTAATTCCCTCAGCAGCAAAGAAACATCATTTGAGAAAAACATTTTAAACAGGTATAAACATCATAGTGACAATGTCCGCTTAGTAACATGACCATCCAATCAGTGACATCCTTCTCCTATAGTAGGCGGAGCATTGATGTCCATTTCCTCTTTCTTGCGAAACCCGAAGAATAACTCAAACTCGGAACAGGAAATCCGGATAAACCAAACGAGCCGGAACACGGCATGTAATTCAGAGAGGTCTTTCAACCAAGTTACGGTAAAAGAAACAAGAAAATAAAGTAATGTCTTGAAATCATGGTGGTGCCCGCATATATAGAGGTCTAAGCGCCTGACTAAACAGTGACAATAACTCATAAATGTAGTAAGAAGAAACTTCCAATCTGAGGACAACAGTGACAATTAAGTGCTCATAAGTGCTCATAATTAAATAATGCCCTAATGTAGGTATGTGATGGCATCAGTACCGCCAAATTGAACTTACCATGGAGAGGTCTGTAACTTACCTCAACCCACATCCGAGCCATCCAAGGACGGGTGGGTGGGATAATACTCGCCTCTGTGTCTTTAATAAAATCATGACTTTCCGTCATGATAATAGTAAAATCCTTGAATTTTATTAAAGACCCGGAGGCTCCTATTATGCTATTTCAAAGCTGTGATATCACGGCTTCTGCGAAATGCTGGATTGGTTTGAAATAAAAATTATGGAAAGTAGATTCCGCGGACCAATCAGCCGCTTTGAAAATATCCTCCAAAGGAGGCTTTAGTGGCCATGGCACCACAAACCGAATGGGGAGAAAATATGGAGACATCAATTCCTGCCAGGTACATGAGCCACTTCACACAGCGGGCCAGGGTAGGAGAGGATACCGGAGCATGCGGTTTTCGAAAGGAGATAAAGAGTTGGGGGTCCGAACCAGTTCGAAGGGGGGTGTTAGGAGCTTCGTACGCCCGAAGACACGCTACTGGGCAAAGGAACGGCTTCGTTGGGAAGCTGGATACAGGACTGACCGGGAGGACGTTTTTGTCCTCCGTGAGATGTCAAAAATGACTCCGTCTGGGGAGAAGGAGCGAGCATTGACATCGAGAGTAACATCTGATACTCTTTTGCATGAGATCAGGCATAACAGCATGACCAGTTTAGCCGAGAGTTGCTTTAAGGATAATGACTTGTTGTCTGGCCAAAGAGTCAAAAAATTCAATACTAGGGAGACGCCCCATACGGAGGAATAGCGAGGTAAAGGTGGCCTTGCGAAGCGAATGCCACAGAGAAAACGACAGACGAGTGGGTGTCGTCCTATCGAGGCACCGTCAATGCCGGTGTGGCCAGCTGAGATAGCCGAGTGGTAAAGGTTTACTGTCCAATAAGCTTTCCCGTTATCATAAAGGGAAGTAAAGAATTGGAGGACAGTCGTCACAGGAGTTGATAGGGGATCCACACCCCATGCCACGCACCAACCACGCACAAGACTGTCTTGTGCCGTGTGCCCATGCGCCCTCGAGAAGTCGGAGAGTCAATTGCGAAACTCCCTCAATCGACCAGGGTCCCCCGAAATTAGCAACGCCATGAGGCGGAGGAGACCCTGGAGGATCAGGGGGTGGAGGGTCCCGTCAGGGTCCGAAGGAGAGATTGGGAGTTCAGGAGGAGCCGTGGATAATCTATAGTCATCTCCAGTAGAGGAGGGAACCAGGGCTGTGATGGCCAGAGGGGGGTTATTATCACTAGGCAGCCCAATTGGCGCCGTAGATGGAGGAGGCGATGAGGGTGAATGGAGGGAATGCATAATTCCTGGTGGTGGACCAGTCTTGGGAGAATGCATTTGTAGCCGAAACCGTAGGGTCTGGCCTCCAATGGAAGAAGTTCGTAAGTTCGGTATTCAATCAAGAGGCAAACAAGTCTATTGCCAGAGGACCCCAAAGATCCCAAATGCACTGGAAGATTTGGGGATCAAGGTGCTAATCGCTGGAATCTCGCAGGTGGTGGGAAAACCAATCCGCCATAGTGTTGGACAATCCTGGCAAATATTCTGCCCTGACAGCAATGTTGTGTTGAAGACAGAGCTGCCAAGAGTCTCGAGCCAAATTCGCTAGGATTTTGGATCTCGGTCCTCCGAGGTGGTTGATATATCTTCAACAAGATTGAACACTGGGACAGGATCGGTGAGAGGCTGCGAATCGCAAAGGACCCTGCTAGGAGTTCTAGGCAATTTATATGCAGTGTGGCTCCACCTCCGACCATCGTCTGTCTGTGGAGACATCTCCGCAGCGCGCACCCCATCCGTAAGAGCTCACATCCAATTCTATGATTACATCTGGAGCCAAGACAAAAATGGCTCTGCCATTCCATGCCTCCATGTGTAGGAGCCACCAGTGAAGTTCTTCCTTCGCTTCTGCGTTTAGAAACATAGAATGTGATGGCAGATAAGAACCATTCGGCCCATCTAGTCTGCCCAATATTTCAAAATACTTTCAATTAGTCCTGGCCTTATCTTAAGTCTAGGATGGCCTTATGCCTATCCCATGCATGCCTAAACTCCCTCACTGTGTTAACCTCTACAACTTCAGCTGGAAGGCTATTCCATGCTTCCACTACCCTCTCAGTAAAGTAATACTTCCTGAAATTATTTTTAAACCTTTGCCCCTCTAATTTAAGACGATGTCCTCTTGTGGTAGTTCTCCTTCTTTTAAATATAGTCTCCTCTTTTACTCTGTTGATTCCCTTTATGTATTTCAATGTTTCTATCATATCCCCCCGTCTCGTCTTTCCTCCAAGCTATACATGTTAAGTTCCTTTAACCTTTCCTTGTAAGTTTTATCCTGCAATCCATGAACCAGTTTAGTAGCCCTTCTCTGAACTCTCTCTAAAGTATCAATATCCTTCTGAAGATACGGTCTCCAGTACTGCGTACAATACTCCAAGTGAGGTCTCACCAGTGTTCTGTACAATGGCATGATCACTTCCCTCTTTCTACTGCTAATAACTCTCCCTATACAACCAAGCATTCTGCTAGCATTTCCAGCTTCTCTATTACATTGTCTTCCTACCTTTAAATAATTACTCCTAAATCCCTTTACTCAGATGTTGAGGTTAGTAGGGTATCAAATATCCTATACTCTGCCCTTGGGTTTTTACGTCCAAGATGCATTATCTTGCACTTAACTTGCCACAGCTCTGACCATTTTTCTAAATCATTTGCCATTTGGCTTATCTTAGTTACATAGTTACATAGTTACATAGCTAAAAAGAGACTTGCGTCCATCAAGTTCAGCCTACCTCACATTTGTTTTTTGCTGTTGATCCAAAAGAAGGCAAAAAAACCCAGTTTGAAGCACAATTTTGCAACAAGCTAGGAAAAAAATTCCTTCTTGACCCCAGAATGGCAGTCAGATTTATCATTGGATCAAACAGTTATTACCCTACATTGAAAGATTATATCCTTGAATATTCTGTTCTTGCAAGTATGCATCTAGTAGCCGTTTGAACATCTGTATGGACTCTGATGAAACCACTTCCTCAGGCAGAGAATTCCACATCCTGATTGTTCTTACAGTAAAAAAACCTTTCCTTTGCCTTAGACGAAATCTTCTTTCTTCCAGTCTAAACGCATGGCCTCGTGTCCTATGTAAAGTCAGGTTTGTGAATAGATTTCCACACAATGGTTTGTATTGGCCCCGAATATATTTGTATAATGTTATCATATCCCCTCTCAGGCGGCGTTTTTCTAAACTAAATAGGTTTACATTTGTTAACCTTTCTTCATAGCTGATATGTTCCATTCCTTTTATTAATTTTGTAGCCCGCCTCTGCACTTTTTCTAGTGCCATAATATCCTTCTTTAGAACAGGTGCCCAAAATTGCACAGCATATTCAATATGGGGTCTTACCATTGATTTATAAAGAGGCAAAATGATATTCTCGTCCCGAGAATGAATGCCCTTTTTCATGCATGACAATACCTTACTGGCCTTGGCCACTGCTGATTAACATTGCACATTGTTGCATAGTTTGTTGTCTATAACAATTCCCAAGTCCTTTTCATGTGTTGTTATCCCTAATTCGCTTCCATTAAGGGTATACGTTGCTAGTGTATTCTTTACGCCGAAGTGCATAACTTTGCATTTTTCAACAATAAATTTCATCTGCCATTTGAGTGCCCAGTCCCCCAGTCTATCTAAATCCCTCTGCAGCAAAGTAATATCTTGCTCACATTGTATTGTTTACAAAGTTTGGTGTCATCTGCAAACACTGAAACATGACTTTCAATGCGGTCTTCAAGATCATTTATAAACATGTTAAATAGAAGGGGTCCCAGAACAGACCCCTGAGGGACACCACTTGCCACCTCTGTCCAGCTTGAAAATTTACCATTAATGACAACTCTTTGTACTCTGTTTTTAAGCCAATGTTCTACCCAAGAACAAGCATTTTCATCTAGACCGATTTCCTTGAGTTTGAACACTAATCTATTGTGTGGAACTGTATCAAATGCCTTGGCAAAATCCAAATAGATCACATCCACGGCAACACCCTGATCTATACTTCTACTTACTTCTTTGTAGAACGCAATCAAGTTAGTTTGACATGACCTGTGCTTCATAAAACCATGCTGATTTTTGCTGATAACCATGTTCTTCTCAAGGAATTCTGAATATTATCCCTTAATAACCTTTCAAATATTTTACCAGCCACAGAAGTTAAGCTCACAGGTCTATAATTTCCAGGCAAGGATTTTGAACCTTTTTTGAATATAGGAACCACATCTGCCTTCCTCCAATCCTCCGGAACACTTCCTGAAAGAAAAGAATCTTGAAAGATTAAAAACAGAGGTTCACTTATTTCTGCACTTAGTTCCTTAAGTACACGTGGATGGATCTTTGTTTATATTAACTTTCTTTAGTTGCTGCAGCACCTTGTCTTGAGTTAACCAATTACAATTATTCTGCAAGTTTTTAGTAGCAATCATTTGCACATCTATTGCCATGGGTTCTTCCTTAATATATAGGGAGGAGAAATAGTTATTTAAAATTCCTGCCTTTTCCTGGTCTTCATTAATTAACACCCCGTTTCAGTTTTTAGTGTACCTACACTTTCATTTTGTTTTTTTTTAGAATTTATGTACTTAAAAAATGCTTTGGGGTTGGTTTTGCTCTCTTCAGCTATCATTATTTCATTTTGAAGTTTAGCAAGTCTAATTGCCTTTTTGTACGCATTATTTGCATCCTTATATCTTTTATAAGATGCATCTGATTTGTCCGATTTAAATGCTTTAAATGCCCTTCTCTTAGTTGTAATCTCTTGTTTTGCTTCTCTACTAAGCCACATTGGTTTTAATTTGTTTCTTTTATATTTATTTCCCAGTGGTACATACTGAGAAATGTACCTTTGTAATATTTGTTGGAAGATGATCCATTTATCCTCAGTGTTCTTTTCACTAAAGAGTTTATGCCAGTCAATATATTGTAAAGCTGCCCTTAACTGATAGAAACTGGCCTTTTTAAATTATATGTTTTAGTATAATATAGTGCTTTTGTTTTTTTGAGTTTATTTCAAAGGACACTATATTGTGATCACTATTTCCCAAGTGCTCACCTACTTGAATGTTGGTCAAAAGATCAACGTTGTTTGTTAAAACCAGGTTCAGACAAGCATCCATTCTAGTTGGTGCTTGTACAAGTTGTGACATGAAGGTGTCATTTAACAAGTTTAAAAACCTAATTCCCTTTGCTGAGGCACTAGTCCCTCTGTCCCAGTTTATATCCGGGTAATTAAAATCTCCAATAATTAAAGTGTTACCCAGATTTGCAGCTTTCTCAATTTGCTCAAACAGCTGTTGTTCCTCGTCAATATTAACATTAGGTGGTTTATAACATATCCAAACCAATAGTTGGTTTCCCTTCTTTTCCCCCAAGCAGATATTTACCCATAAAGCTTCCACATTATCCTCCTCTCATTCCATTTGCTTAACATTTGGCTTTAAATCATGTTTGACATACAAACATACCCCACCACCCTTCTTGTTTTTCCTATCCTTCCTAAATAACATGTACCCATTTAAGTTAGCTGCCCAGTCGTGTGTCTCATCCCACCATGTTTCAGTTATGCCTATTATATCATATTGTTTAGTGTATGCTAATGCCTCTAGTTCCCCCATGTTGTTATTTAGGCTCCTTGCATTAGTAAGCATACATTTAATATTATGCGTCACTTGTGAATTTTCAACATTACACAGCTTCTCTGTTCTGGGCTTGCCCCTCCCCCCGTTTCCACCCCCCTTGTACTGTGCTAAAGCCCATCTCCTTTCTGTCCTATCTCCATTTTGTAGATTGCTATGACCATCCCCCCCTACTACTAGTTTAAAATCTCCTCCAACCTTCTAGCCATCCTATCCCCCAGCACTGCAGACCCTCTCCCGTTTAGGTGCAATCCATCACCACTATAAAGGTTGTACCCAATCGCAAAGTCGGCCCAGTGCTCTAAAAACCTAAAACCCTCCTTCCTGCACCAAGACTTAAGCCACGCATTGACCTCTCTAATCTCCCGCTGCCTTTCCACTGTAGCGCGTGGCACAGGTAATATCTCAGAATACCACCTTGGAGGTCCTTTTCTTAAGTTTGCTACCTAATTCCCTGAAATCATTCTTTAGGACCTTCCATCTTCCTCTTACTTTGTCATTGGTACCAACATGGACCATGACCGCTGGATCATCCCCAGCCCCTCCCAATAATCCATCCACTCTGTCAGCAACATGCCGGACCCGAGCACCCGGGAGACAGCAAACTGTCCGGTTGAGCCGATCAGAGCGGCAGATTGCCCTATCTGCTCTCCTAATGATAGAGTCCCCTACCACCACAACCTGTCTTGCCTTCCTTGAACCTGTTATCCCTCCTGGAATATCAACCCTGTTGCAAATTTTAATATCGTCAGCAAAAAGACATACCTTACCATCAAGACCTTCTGCAATATCACTAATAAAAATATTAAAGAGAATGGGTCCAAGTACAGATCCCTGAGGTACCCCACTGGTAACTAGACCTTGCTTCAAATATGCTCCGTTGACTACAACCCTCTGTTGCCTGTCATTTAGCCACTGCCTAACTCATTCAACAATATTGGAATCCAAACTTAAAGATTTCAGTTTATTGATGAGCCTTCTATGTGGAACAGTGTCAAAAGCCTTACTGAAATCTAGGTAAGCAATATCTATTGCACCATCCTGATCTATTATTTTAGTTACCCAATCAAAAAAATCAATAAGATTAGTTTGGCATGATCTTCCTGAAGTAAACCCATGTTGTCTCTGATCTTGAAATCCATGTGTTTTTAGATGTTCAACAATCCTATCCTTTAACATGGTTTCCATTACTTTCCCCACTACTGAAGTAAGGCTTACTGGCCTATAGTTGCCCTACTCCTCCCTACTACCTTTCTTGTGAATGGGCACAACATTCGCTAACTTCCAATCTTCTGGGACTACTCCTGTTAACAATGATTGGTTAAATAAATCTGTTAGTGGTTTTGCTAGTACACCACTAAGTTCTCTTAACAACTTTGGGTGTATCGCATCAGGCCCCATCGACTTATTTGTCTTTACGTTTGACAGTTGAAATAGAACCTCTTTTTCTGTAAACTCATATGTAACAA